GCATCTTGACGGCTCCCCCGGAATTTGTGTGCAAGGTCAGGATGGAGACATGTTGCTTTAGGATCGAGCAGGGGCAGAAAGGGTCTGCTTCCAGATCACTGAACCACTGGCTGGATAGGACCCTGGGCTGCGTAGAGAGATGTGGCTTTGGGTCACGGCTCCACCAGAGATGGACCGGGTGACTCTGGGAGAGTCACTCAGAATCTTGGTTTCCTTTGTGGTCGGAGAAGCAGAGCAAGTCGGAGGGTGACATGGGCTAAGGCAGTGCAGAGCTTAGCAGGTGCCTGGTGGCAGTGAAATAGTTTAGACTAGTTAGCTGCTCTTACTCATGTCTGGGAAGGAGGAAAAGGGCCCCTCTAAAGCTGAACCCAGAAGAGCAAATGCTCAAAACTGAATCAGATTTTCTCCAGAAGGCATAATAACGGCACTAGTATAAAACCATGGCTTCCGCCTAGATGTTTGGGAGACCCTGGAGTCCTGTTTTGGCCTCAGCTTTTTCTGGAATGTGCACATGTGTGTGTGTGTTTTCCCTTTGGAACTATGGCTGCTGCCACATTTACTTAAGACTGTTAGAAGCAGTTTAGTATCTTACTCCTCTGTTTAAAAAATTGTGCAAAGAAAGCCCCAGAGTGAGCAGTATGAGTCTGTATCTGCGGTGCAACTGGATTTGCACGCAAAGCAACATTTCGTTACAGGTGTGCTAAACTAATTTCCTCTCCAGGGTAGATCTCTTTGCACACAAAGACTTGAAAGCTGTGCAAGGGGAGGATCAGGGTCCCCTTTTCCCTGCTGAGCTCTGAGGCCCAGGTCCACAGGCCCTGGCCAGGAGGGTGGGTAGGGAAGGAGTCCCCAGGCTCCCTGGGTGGTGCAGAGCACCTCCAGGGCTGCTGAGCTTCCTCCAGGGCAGATGGTATAAGATCTGTGGATGAAGATGAAGTCCTTACTTCCCTCTGAATGTGGAGATCAGCAGAATTCTTTTCTTCTTTTTATTGCCTTCGAGACATATGCTGACTTGGTCAAAATTGCTTCGGCAAGATGTGACTGATGATGTATGAAATGAAAACTCCTTGCCTGGTGCTGGGAAGCCAGCAAGTGAGGGGTGTGGACATTCAGCTGGGGCGGCCAGACACAATAATGCCCCTCACGTTTCCAGGCCATCTTTCATCCAGGCTCAGCCAGCCCAGGTGTGGAGCGGACTGGGCAGATCGGGTTACACCCCTGGAGTCCAGCGCTGGGTGCCCTGGCTTGGGGCACCGCAGCGGGGGGTGGGGTGGGGGCTGGCTGCTGGGGAAATGAGATAGGCCCTGGAGAGTTCCTGGGCCCTGGATGGCATCGGATGGTGGGAGGTGGGGCGGCAGCTGGGGGACACTCAGGGGATCAGAATCAGGGAGCACCCGTTCACCTCCAATGCCACTCTTCTTGTTCTGCCAAGCTCTCCCGCCCAAGCTCACGGTCAGGGTGCATTTGTTTTTCTCTGTTTGGCCAATGAGAAAAGTTGTGTTATTTTTAATTTTGGAGGCTTTCCTGCTAACCTATTTTTCTTTTCATCCAGATTCTAACTAACATTTATCACATGTTTTCTCTGCCCCCTCAAGCACCTTGCAAAGTCCTTTACATGAATTGAATTAACTTTTGGATGTTCACAGCAACCCAAGGGAACAGGTGCCTTTAGTCCCCCATTATACAGATGGGGTAACTGAGGTGAGTGGAGGTTAAACCCCTGGCATACAATTGCAAGTGGCAGGGCTAGAGTGTGTAACTGGGTGGCAGGCGAGTTCAGGCTGCTAGCTCCCACCTGAGACTTGCCTTAAACAATCTCATAGCCTTTGCTGTTGGCCCCAGCTTTCAAACCCATGTCTGATGCACCCCTTGCCAGGATTTCTTGCCTGCACGTCTGCATGGATGCACTCAGCAATGAAGCAAATATTCACTGGGGGCTTGGTGCAGGCTTGGGGACTCCTCTGGGGGAGGGAACAGGGAAAATAAAGAGCCCACACCCTCTCCCACACGGATCACAGGGAAGATAAGGAGGATAAAGAGAGGGTTGTGGGAGTTCAGAGGGAACCTTATCTCTCCCAGGTTTTGCCTTTAGAGAGCATGTTGTCTCTTCATCTTGCATGAGAAAAGATGGCATCCCAGAAGAAGGGTCTTGGGGTTGAGGGTTCTGGGAGACACCTTCGCCTGGTGCCTGCACAGTCAGCCCTCATTTAACCATGCTGTGCTCTTTAGATGTTGTCTGTGTTTATTACTATTCACTCAACTGGGCACTTACTGAATACCTGCTGTGTGTCAGGCTCAGGTGGGCTCAGGTGAGCTGCACAGAGGAATCAACTATAATCTTTGCTTCAGGGCCTTCTAGGTGGCCAAAGGTGGACAGACACTGATCAATCAGTGGCTCCCACCCCCAGGTGTCCCCTGTTCCTCCCCCCTCAAAGCAGGGAGAGTAGATTAAAAGGTAGGGAAAGCTGCTACAGAGGAGCAGCATTTTAGATTTTGGAAGAAAGCAAGCTCCTTTGTCTCAGCAGGCATAGCAGTTGCTGTGGCTTTGCCCCTGGAAAGCCAGCCATGGGGGCAGGAGCAGCTCTGGGGAGACAGCCTGGGGTCTGCTCCTCACTCCACAGGGCCTGTGCACATGCTGGTCAGTCTACCTAGGATGCTTTTCCCTGGGAAAGCGGTCTCTTTCTCATCCTTCCAGGACTCAGGCCAAAGGCATCTACTCTGGAAGATCCCCACCACCTCTCACCACCTTAGTTTATTTCCTCCTATCTCTTTGCCCAGGCGGAAATGGCCAGGGGTGCACATTGTAGGCCCTGTGTTTGCTCCCCACCCTCCACAGCGCTTGCCCCAGGCCCTTCCTCCTTGACCCTCCTGCATGCCCTGCTCTGCCTGGCCCTAGCACTTGAGTGCCCTGCAGCACATCCTTCCCTGAGAGAACTGATGGACAAGCACTGCCTCCCCTCCTGCCCCCAAAATGTATTTAAGGTTCCTGCTTTGTCACCCCTTGGTCTGAAAGCAAGTGTCACCATGGGGCCACTGTGCTGTTCAGACTTACTGCTGTTCCCTTCAGCCCAGCGCTGTGCTTGGCAGAGGGATGGGCCACAGAATTTGCAGGGCTCGGTGCAAAATGAAAACGGGGGCTCTTTGTTCATAGACCATATATGAAGCATTGCAATATGACAGCAGTAGATCATTAAGCCAAGTGTAAGGCCCTTCTGAGCATGGGGGCCTGGGTGCCTACACAGGTCCCACACTCATGAAGCCCACCTGCCTGACACTTACCTGTTGAAGTGCTCACCAAGCCTTTGTTGAAGGGAGGAGTTAGGGATGAGTCACGTGACAGGCCATCTGGCTGCCTTTCTTGACTGACACTAGGCGAAAGCCAGCCCTGAAGGGGGCTCAGGACCTGCGGCATCTCATAGCCTAGGGCCTCTGTACCAGGACCAGTGGGTGCCCTAGGAATGGAGAGGACTTGCAGCCTTGCATTTCATTCTCCTTGCCTTGCTTTCCTCTCTCCACCCATGTGGCCCTTCCCCAGAAGCCCCCAAAGTCTGCATGGCAGAACCACCTCCATTCCAGAAAACTCTAGAAGACCAGATTCCTGTTTACCAGCCCTAGAGCTTTCTCCTGCTCCCAAGTAAGGCTTAGCCAGACTGCCCTCCACCGCCTCCCACCCCCATCCCCAAGGAGGGCAATGGACAGGGGTTCACACTCAGCCCTTCACCTTCTATCCCACATCCCATGTTGACTTTCTGTCTACCCATCATATTGGGAGCGACTGGCTTGTGGCTTTGCCTCCTTGGGCAGCCCAGCCCCAAGAGGGGAAGGAGCATGGTTGAAATCACTGCAGCTCTGGTGAAGTGTTATTTTGCCCTGTTGTTACAGATGCAGAACAGGGGCTCTGACAAGTGAGTGATAATTCACAGAAGGCCCCACAGCAGGTTCAGGTTGTCTGGGGCACCTGTGTCCATGCCCAGGGTGCACTGAGCTCCATGTAGGCAGCCCAGTGTTGTTTGTGGGATGAATGAATGAGGGGACGGGTTAGGGCACAGCCGGCAGAGGTGACCCGGATGCAAGGCCAGCTGCAGGCTCCACAGACATTACCAGCCTGGCTGACCAGGAAGGGCAGACAGTGGGGCCTGGGTATTGTCTGGGGCTGAGGAGAGGTTGGAAATAAATGGTGCCCCATGGGGGAGGGGTGGAGAGGAATTCTCCAGCTCACATAACTTCAATCATTTAGCGAATAATGCTTGTGCAGCCACAGTGGTACCAGGCCCTGGGTTCAAGGGCGATGGAGAGGAGCCATGCCTGGGCCCCAGGATGCTCCATGTCTAGTGTGAGAGAAGATGATGAAGGCAGGAAGAATTCAAACAGTAATTCCAGACTGACAGGAGTTAAAATAAAACAGTGTGGGGGTGAGCAGGGCGAGCCACCTTATCTTGGCTGGTCTGGGAGGAAGTGGCACCTGAGTGGCGCTGGGAGGTGGACCCTTGGGCAGGCAAGTTCAGCACACGTGGTGGGGAGGGATAGAGGGGGAGAGAGTTCCAGGCATTGGGGTGATAGATGCAAAGACAAGATGGTGACGAGTTCGGGGAGGTGGGGAGGGGTTCACATGATGGATTAAAGGGAGGAGCGGAGAGTAGAGGGATCAGAGGTCACCTCCTCCGGGGAGCCTCCTCTGCTGCCCGGACTTCCCCAGCACTCCCCGCAGCTTCTTCTGCTGCAGCCGGAATCCGCAGGGTCCCCCTCAGGCCTCCTTCCCTGTCCCCATCGCGAATGCGGAGCGGGCAGCGTGGGCTCGGATTCCCACCTCGCATCCCCGCGGCGCCGGGCATGACTCTGGGCACCCCGTGGGCACGCGGTAAATAGTTGTAGGGCGCCCTGGCAGGATGAATGAACTCATTGGGCGCAGCTTGGGGTAGGGCGGGGCCAAGGGCAGGTGGGAGGCCGCGGGCGCGGGAGGGGCCCTGGACGCTCGTGCTCCTCCTCCTCCCAGGCCCAGCGCGTACCAGTCTGGGGCTCCCCAGGCGGCCTCTCGTGCGGCCGGGGGCGCGCAGGGCCAGGAGGGCGACCCAGGGCCCCTGTCCTGGGCGCCGGAGTTTGGACGAGGGTGGCTCGCCATCGCCCGAGAGCGAGAGCGCGAGCGGAGCGGGAGGGGGGCGCGCTCGCTAGCCCGCCGCCTCGCTGCCTCCCCGGCGCTCGCTGCGGCTCCTGGGTGTGCTGGCTGCTCCTCCCACCCGCGCCCGCCTTCTGGCTCGCTGGCTGGCTCGCTCAAGCCGGTTTCCAAGCCCCGTGGTGCGCCTGGGCGAGTGGGGGCGAGGGGCCCCGGGGCCAGCGCCGAGCCGGGGGCGGGGGTCCGGGCAGAGCGCAGCCGCCCGGGGAGGGGCCATGTCCGGCGCGGGCGCGACGGGGCCCGTCTGCAGCAAGTGACTGAGCGGCGTGCACGGCCGCCTGCCGCCTTCAGCCACCTGGAGCGGCGCGGGCCCCGGTGCCGGGTGCCCGGGTCGCGCGTAGAGCCGGCGCGATGCACGTGCGCTCGCTGCGCGCCGCGGCGCCGCACAGCTTCGTGGCGCTCTGGGCGCCCCTGTTCCTGCTGCGCTCCGCCCTGGCTGACTTCAGCCTGGACAACGAGGTGCACTCGAGCTTCATCCACCGGCGCCTCCGCAGCCAGGAGCGGCGGGAGATGCAGCGCGAGATCCTCTCTATCTTGGGCTTGCCCCATCGCCCGCGCCCGCACCTCCAGGGCAAGCACAACTCGGCGCCCATGTTCATGCTGGACCTGTACAATGCCATGGCGGTGGAGGAGGGCGGCGGGCCCGACGGCCAGGGCTTCTCCTACCCCTACAAGGCCGTCTTCAGCACCCAGGGCCCCCCTCTGGCCAGCTTGCAAGATAGCCACTTCCTCACCGACGCCGACATGGTCATGAGCTTCGTCAACCTGGGTGAGTGAGGGCAAGAGGGAAGGGTGAGCCGCCGAGACTGGAGGCGCTTGGGGACGAGGAGGGGGCCGCTTCTTGCAGGCAGCCCGCCCGTCTTTCCACTCGGCTGTTTGCAAACCCGCACGCCTAGCCGAGGGTCTCCTACGCCGGCCCGGGGACCCCAAGCAGTGCTTGCCCCAGGTAGGGCTCGCTCCCGGGCTCATTTGGCCTGTGGTTATTTTGGGGAGTAAACTGGTCCGGAACTCCCACTGGGTTAAGTTGGCCGCGGCACCTCAGGGTCTGGAGACGCCGAGCCGGCCGCGGCTCAGTTCAAAGCGCGGGGCTGGGTCATGTGAGCCGCGCGGGCCCAGCGTGGCCTGCGCTACCTGGGTTTAAAGGGCCCTGATCGGTGAGGCAGCCTTCCCGCCCTTTCTGGGCTCCTTTCAGCCCTGCACGGACCTGGCATCGAGGGCGTCGCGCCCCCGTCCCGGCCCTGGCCAGCCCTACCTGTCCCCTCCCGGTGCGCCGGCTCGCGCGTGCTACGCGCCCCTCTCCTGGCCGCCGGGCGCCCCCCCTCGTGCTCAGCTCTCCTGGCGGGAGCTGGGGAAAAACTGTTGCTATTGCGAGTTTTCTATTTTAAATATTTAATGATAGGTCCCAGGCGGGCAGAATCCATTTTCAGCGTTTATCACGTGTGGCGCGCAAACCGCGGCTTTTGGCGAATGGGTGGCGCGGGATCTCCTACAGACGCCGCTGGCGGTGGCTGGGGGACCCGGCTCGCGACTGGAGCCGCGATGGCCCCGGAGACCCGAGGCCGGCGCTGCTGCGGGGGCGCGGGGGCTCCCGCTCCAACTGCGCACGCATATTCACCGGACTTGCTTATACGCAGCCCCCGGCAGCGCGCTGTAGGGCTGATGATCAAATATTTGGTTTCCGAGATAACACACCCTGATAGCGCTGTTTCCTAGCCGCTTTCATTCTACATGTGTGACTTGCTGCGAAAATCCAAACGGAGTCAAGACAGCAAACTCAACGCTCACCGGCGCTGTGTCAACATGGAAATAATGATACTGAAAACCCCCCGCTGGGTACCGGGGCCGGGGATGGGGGCGCAGAGATGGGAGGATCAACCTTAATGCTTCCCGCTCCAGATAAGGTTCCTGGAGTTCCCGGGACGCCATTGTCTGTCCTTAATAACAGCCCCAAATCAAATTGTGACTCGAGTTTCAGAGAGCAAGAAGTGGGAGTTTTAGATGCCAAAATAACTTAGAGAAAGTTAGAATTGTACTAAGCAGCCTAATAGAACGACGCATCTTCACATGTCCTGATTTAGAACATTCTCCAAGATGTCTGAGGTGGGAGAGCAAGGTGCGGACCAGTGAGGGTACGCGTGTGCTCGTGTATCATCCCTTCCGGCTGGGAGAGGACACCACCAACTGGAAATAGAGTTTACTGGGGGCGGGGCAGAACTGGGGCTCCTGCTCGGAGTGGGAGCTGGGGTCTGATTGTTCACTGCACTGTTGTCTGAGTAATTTTATTTTACAATGTGTATTTATGACCTATACCAGAAACTAAAGAAAAATTCCAAGGACATACATATAATTAAAGCAGCTCTGTAGCCATCCTGAAGGTGGGGGTTAACTGGGGCGCCTTCTCTGCGGGGGGATTTATGGCATCTTCTGTTCTGTTGGGTACCCTTGAATGGCGCAGGTCCCAGTGGCGGCCTTTCGAACCTGGCTGGAGTCATTAAAAAGGTATTTGTAAGACCTAGCTTCTGTGGAAGGCTCTGCAAACCTAGTGCAAAAAGCACCCCGCTTTTCTTACGGACCAGGAGCAGTCAGAGCTGGGGCTCCCCCCACCCCAGAGAAGCACCAGGTTGCAGATTGGGTGCCTCTGGGAACCTGGGGCAGGCTGTGCTCCCCCTTGGTGGCAGCAAGCTGGGACTTGTTTGGGAAGGCCACAGCTGGGTGGTTTCCTCCTCTGCCTTTACACACACCTTTCAACCCCGTTAGCCCCATTTCTTTCATCTTGAAAGGACAAAGACCGGCTTGTCTGAGCCTCTTAATCAGTTGGGCTGGCTTTGGGCTTTGTGGGACAGTCCTGACTTTCTCAGGTCTTGCTTTCTGGAACATCACTCCAAATTAGATGGCGGAGTGGCTTATAACAGAGTGCCCTGACCTTGTTTTCTTTCTCTTTCTGTCCCTAAAACTCGAGGTAATTAGTTGGGGGAAGACTTAGACTTCAGTTTGGTAGGATTCTTCTCTGATAGATGCTTCTAAGGTTGCCTTTAATTTCTGCCAGCAACTGCACAGGAATGAATGCCTGTCCCTGCCATTCTCTTCTGGCTCCGGAATTTCTCCATACTCCCGGAGGGGTTTGGGGTGGCAGTGGGGTGGAGGGGAGTATGTAGCCGACTTGTTTGGAAGCTAAGTTGGCTAAGAAAGCACATTGTTTTTCCTTGGACTGCAAATCATAATAGATCGCTATCAAACAGTTTCTAAAGGTGTGTTTAGCCTCATACTTTACATAAGAGTGAGAAGATGTCATTTATCCATATCAAACCATTACTTACAATGGGAGGACATGGGGGACTTTGGGGTGCTGCTGATGGAGATCTTGAGGGGAAACTGACTTTCTCCACTGCCCCTCCTCCCTCTGCTGCATTCCGCTGCTGTCCTGCAGGGCTTGGGGAACCTCTGATTGAATTCTGAAGGCTTTTGCAGACCTGGTGCGTTTATTCTTCCTTCTGTCTGCAGCCAAACTGGTTTTTGTTCCTATAAGTCGTTCTCTTTGGAATTCAAGTTTTTTGCCAGGCTGAGTGGGATCTAGAGAGGGAACTAGAGAGTTTATGACAAAACCAGAATGAGGACTTCAGCCCCCACCTTATGACAAAGACCAGCCTGTACTATGAAGCCTCGGTGATGGTAGTTGGTTGGGCTGCTGGAGGGAGATGCACATCTGCCCAGCCTGGGCCTCTTAAGTTCAATGGCGAGATTTGTAAACTGGTTTGGATTAACAAGCCCCCGATTCCTCTCTGCGGACTTAATTTTGGAATTTAAAACAGACTGCCCTCTCTTAAATTGTCCCCAGGCAATGTGGATGCTGCAGACGAATCTAAGGATCACCCCCCGCTATTCTTTCTTTCTTTGGAGAAACCCAGCAGCTCCTAGGGAATGTTCTAAGGAAGCCGGCTGGCATTAGGGGTGTGTGACGCATGTTAATTTCTGGTCCCCGTTATGAAGGAACCAAATTTGTTCAATCTTTGAAGCTAAATTAAAAAAAAAAAAGAGAAAGTTGGAAAACTATCACATTGGACTTGGTGTATTAAAAAAAAAGTGGCTTTTGTTAATGCAGCTGAAGAGCAGAGAGAAGGCTGTAAAAGTTTTTTACTTTATACCATCTGGCTATCCTTTTTGTTGACAAGTGTTTGGCATTAAGATCTCTCCCTTTGCCCCTTAAGAACAGGCCCTACCACTGTAGAGTATTAGAAAAAGATTCTGTTACAGTTTAAAAATTTCCTTCAGGGAGTGCTTGGCGAAGGAGCATGGGCGGCAGGCATTTGCAGCTGTAACCTGGCTTGTGTTAAAATTTGGAAGGGGCTGCTTCACATTCCAGCACTTGGAGCGCCGGCCCTCACTGGTAAGCAGCCAGAGGTTAATATAGATGTCACACAGGCTTCTCCCCTTCTTTCCTTCATTCTTTCTGCAGAGTGCCTTCGCGATAGAAGCGCACCAACAGCTGTGTTTTTAGTAACCCTTTCAAAATCACTTCTTTTAAACCTCATTTTCCTGCTTCTATAAATCAAAGATCTTCCCCCCCCCCCCTTTTCCCAAGGATATGTGTGACCCAGATTTGAACTTTTTTGATCTTCTTTGTATTTCCCTCCTGGAATCAGGGCGGGTTAAGGCTGAGTCCCGGATGCCAGCTTGCATGGCTAGTATTGGTTTTTATTTCAGGGTTGTCCTTTGGCTGTGGAGTGGCCCATTGCAGGGATAAGGGAGGGGCCCAGATTAGAACCAACCGCAGGGCAGCTGAGAGATGACTGCACAGAGAGGAGAAGCTGCTTTTCAGATGCTGCTCTTGCCAGCCACAGTTTGGGGCCTGACATCTCATAGTAGGGTTTCAAGCCTCGGCCGAGATAAACACAGCTGGTGCATGATCCCCTGACCACGGGAATGCCTGCGGTGTGAGCGAATGTCACATGTCCGCTCAAGTTGGAGACAAGTGATGACTTCATTCCAGGGAGAGTCCATCGAAGTTGATTGATCACCCCTATTGCTTTAATATCTTTTTTCCCTATTGGGTAAGGTCATATTTGGCCCATCGCAGGAATCATACTGTCCTAACACTCTCTCATCCCCACCCTTCCCCAGCCTGCCCATCCGTTTAAACAGATGAATATTTTGAATGGAGAGCCCTTTGCACTAAATGACTAGCCACATTCATTTTTTTGTGATCATTCTTCAGACCTACCTGGGGGCTGTCCACACATTTTTTTTTTTTAATTGTCAGAAGGAATGCAAGGATTAGCCTTTAAAACATGGTGGCTGCAGCTGTGTACACTTATTGTAAAAGATTTAAGTCTCACTGGGAAAATCAATATATTGAATTGCATGACCCTCTGCTTTTAATTAGTTTAAATCAAACGTGCCGATGCCATTTTGCCGCCTCTCACCTTCACGGGGTGAGGAAATACCAATATTTACATAGAAACTGTTAATTTGTGGTGAAAATGATAACACATTTAGCTTTACACACCCAAATTGCTCCGACCTGATGGATCCCAGATCAACGTGGACTTAAGGGATGACATTACCAGGGTGAGGGAACAGGGCAGTGACATCAGTAACCTTGCAAAGCCGACTCTTGACGCCACACACAGGTGGGCATATCCCTGGGAAAGAACCTGAAAATTGTAGTCTTTAAGGAGACTAGCTGATTCTTTCACTGCAAGCCAGAAATGTTGAGATTAGCCCACATCACCTAAAATCTTTTCTCTTAAGCACTCTTACAGGATTGTCAGG